CAGAGACCCCAAACCCATCTGTAGACAATGGGACATGCCCTCACAGAAGGGTCACAAGGAAGGGATAAGTCAACCAGGGCACAGTACAGCATGGGTGAAATGCACAATATTCCTCTGGTTCCATAAGGCTTCCACACACCCCACTATCATGACCCCAGCCATACATTTCACTGTAGGCTAGACTAAGCATGGACACAGGTACAGATAAGAGATAAGAGCTAAGGACACATGGAATCCAGAAATGGGAATCGGAATAGAGATACCAGGAAGATAGGGGGCAGAGAGGGAGAGGAGGGAAGGAAGGGAAAAATGAGTGCAGTAATGGACATGTAACCCCACACCCCGAGGGGGATAAACAATAGAAACCAGGGGGGAAGGGAGACAGCAGTCAGTGTAAGGTATAAAAATAATAATAATCTATAATTTATCAAGGAGTCATGAGGGTTGGGAGGATAAAAAGAGGAGCTGATACCAAAGGCTCAAATAGAAAGTAAATTTTTAGAAAATAATGATGGCAATATATGTACAAATATGCTTGATACAATTGATGTATGAATTATTATAAGAGCTGTAAGAACCCCCAATAAAATGACCTTTTAATTAAAAAAACAAAACCAACAAAAAACCCAACATGATGTGAATTGAAGACTATACAAGCAGACAGCTTTAAAGAATAGTTAGAGAGATGAAATCACCTTGCAAACGTGTACAGACATGGGAGGGGGATAAATGGAATAAACCTTCAACCTCGAAATCCAAATGCACTGTTCCCCCCTTTTGTGCATGTTTTGGTGTGTGCGTGCTGTCTGGGTACACTGTAATTGGTACTCCTTTACTCACAGTGCTCAGACACTCAGCCCGGATGGGTCAACCAACTGCAGATGGAGAATATTGGGAGAAACAAAGAAACAATTAAGTGGAAATAAAAAGCCATTAAGTGATCCAAGCAATCTCTTAAGGGCAAAGAGGGAGTAGTATAATGTGCGACTTGCAGAGAACTTGCACTGCAGTATGTATTATAAGTAAAATGAGAGCTGATTGGGGGCCTCTGCATAGGCTTGATTCAAACACTACCACATTTTACATAAGTGACTTTGATATCTAAGGGCTTGCGTATCTAGGCCAGAAGTGGAGGGAACGTTCTGGAAAAAAGGAGGGTATTGCGTGTCCTGGAACCAATTCTAGGCAAATACTAAGATATGATTGTACTACAAGTAATATTCTGAACAATAGTGAGCATCTACTACATGCAAGTTACTGTAATTTTTTGCACTCATAACCATTATTAATTATATGATAAACTGCACAAGGCTTTGTGTCATAAACCATAGTTCCTAATATGTCTATGAAAGAATATTGTACTCACATGCAAGCTTAGTATTTCAAAACAAAAATAATTCTCTATTATATATAAGTGACCTTTCCAAGTTCATCTTGGTCATTACATACAACCTTACTTCCTACTCATATAGATTGCTCTAAATCTTTGCCTTAATAAGCTTGTGA